CTTCAGATTGTACCTCAGTCTTTTTCCTTGCTGTTATCTTTTCATTGTAATAAAATTTAGCCATGAAAACTACTATGTATGTGTGGGTGGTCTTGGGGACCCCAAATAACTTTCTTAGAGAAGGCTTCTATAGGTGGCTGATTTCATCAAATATATGTGAATTCCTGCTATCATCTAGGGTCTAGAGACTTGATTATGCTAGGGATCATTGTTACTATTTAGTCCTATAGACTATGTCTACTTACTACATTCCCCTACTCTAAAAATATAAGAAAGAATCCCTTAGCATTCATAAGGAAAAGCATCTTGAGGCTCTTAAGAGTAAAGGAATTTCTGAGTACCCATCCAGAATAATAAAGATGGAGACTTAAGGGGGGAGATAAGTAGTGAAAAATATCTCTAATTTCTTTGTTTCTATTTTCCCTCTTTTCCTTTTTCCAGAAAGCAGAGGACTGAGGAGGGTTTAGTGCAGATATGGTTGACTTGAGGAAGGCTAAATTTTCTGAAGTAGACCTGACATTTCAGCTTAGACCTTGGTAACTTTTAGTGGCACTTGAGGCACATTAATGACAACGTTCTCCATCTTTGTCCCTCTAGATGCCACGGTTGTCACCCACTCTAATCCCAGGCTGTGAAATCAAGCCTATCACTATTTAGCGTGGATTTTATTTTTTCTTTAATTAATTAATTCATTCTTTTATTCAGAAAACATTTATTGAGCACCTACTATTAATTGGTACATGCTAAATAAATAGTCCCAGCACTAGCATCACCGACTCAGCTCCACCTCAGATCATCAGGCATTAGATTTTCATAGGAGCGCTGGTCCCTTTGCCAAAAAGGTTGGGGACCGTTGCCTTAGAGTGATCTGCCATGGAGTAAAAATAATGATACTGGCATTTTTTTCAGCATCATGAAGCTGAACATTTCCCATCCTCTCTCCCTTTCCTTTGTGAGGCCATGTTAAAAAGCAACCACCCATGGAGTAAGGGGAGAGAGAAAGCACATTAGCAGAGGGCATCATGTTGCTAGAACCATTGTTATTAAAGCAGCTCTAAAATATTTTAAGAAGAAATTGGAAGAAGAAAATCTCTACCTGTAATAATGCCACATTAACTGTACTCCTTGCTAGGGCGGCCATAACAAAGTACTACAATGGCTTAAACAACAGAAATTTAATTTCTCATAATTCAGGAGGCTAGAAATCCAAGATAGAGGTGTCAGCAGTGTTGATTTCTTTTGAAACCTCTCTCTTTGGCTTGTCGATGGCCATCTTCTCCCTGTATCTTCACAGTCTTCTCTCTGTGCCTGTGTGTGTCCTAATCTCTTCTTATAATAAGAACACCAGTCAGATTGGTAGGACTGGCCTACCCTAATTATCTTGTTTTAACTTAATTACTTCTTTGAAGACCCCATGTCCAAATACAGTCACATTCTGAAGTACCTGAGGACTTAAATAGGTGAATTGGGGTGGGGACACGGTTCAGCCCATAACATTAACCCATCAGCAGTTTCATTTCTTAGAGCTCTTTTTTTAATCTTCAACCATATATAACTATATTTATTTCCTTCTTCGTATTTGTTATTTTAATGGCTTCATGCCATCTTTTGTATTGACAGACCATAATTTACTTAAGCATTTCTGTTTAAACTTTCTAGTTTTTCCTTTGTGCAGCAGCATGTTTGTACACTTGGCATTTTCTCATCTTCTGAATTACATTCTTGTATTAGATTGTAGATGGGTTTTGATGTTTTCAGCCCAGTTGTTTTCAAAGGACTGCATGTAGTTATGACAGCATCAGCAGGACACCTTGTGCATATTTATCTTTAGCTTCACCAGTGTTGGATTTTATTTATTTTTCCTGCCAGCTTAGGTCCCAAGATGATACTTGACCATGGTTGGCTATGATAAATTATGAATTAAACAACCAGAAAAAAAAAAAAAGGCTGAAGTGATTGTGTGATACTGCTGTGTTCTCGTTTTCTGTTTTGTGGAAACTTGAGTACAGCATTCTCTTCATACTTGCGGTCCTGTTGCTTGAATACTGACTCCTAGCTGTGCCTACTCTGGGTAGCTTACTTTCTAGAGTTGGGTCTGTTAGGTGTGCACCCAATCCCAGCCCTCAGCTAACTTACAAATAAGTAGCAGCAGTGATAGTGCAGGGCTGGCCGATTGTATGTCCAGAAAGAGCCAGAGGCAGACTATGTGGCTTTTCAGTAAAAATCCCCCGGGAAGATATTTAGCTGTTTTGCACTTTGCTGGGATAAGAATGTGAGGTGCAGATATTTTTTTTTCTTTGGGTACCAAACCATTTCTCCATGGCTTTTGACAGGTATGTGAAAAATGTGATAGAAGTTTGAAAAGGGAAACATGCTCTAAGAAAGTGAAAATGTTGTGGGCGCTTGCTGGGAGGTTACTTTCCCCTGAGATTTTAAGTAGGGAAGGCTTGGAAGTGGTGAAGATGGGCATACGTAGATGCTAAGAGTAGTGAGCAAAGGAAGGTCAAAGCACCAAGGAAAATGAGGAACAAGTAAGAGCGGGGTCTGTAGAAACAGTAAACCTAAAGGGAAGAGTGGAGATGAGACTGGAGAAGAAAGCGAGTGACCTCATATGTAGTCCCTGACTCAGAATTTGGATTTAACGGATGAGACAGGGAAGAGCCCTTGAATATTTCAGGGCCTGAAAGCGATGTGCATTAGGAAGATTATTATGGCTTCATTGTTTATGTCAATGCTCTTAGGAAGTCTAAGAATTGATGCATCACTAGCTGTTTGCTCTCTCAGAGGGCAGAAATGTTTTATTTCTGACTCCTTACTGCTGATTTTCTTTTCTGCTGCCTGTGTTTGCAGTTTGTACCCAGGGGAGATGTGGTTGCTTCTAGTCCCTTTCACCATCAGCCGTTCCCAATGTTGATTTTAATTGCTGAAGTTTATCTCTGCACTTTATTTTCCTGATTACTTTATATATTTATTGTTGTTGTAGTTGCATTTTGTATTTGCAAGTAACTTGGCATTTTGGGAAAAAGCTTAGCTTTTATTGAACATTGCCAAGCCAGCCAGACCACTACTTTTGTGTGTGTGTGTGTGTGTGAAATTGACGAGTAGATACAGGGTTGAGGCAAAAATCCTCAGTTCTCACTTGCATTTATTTGTTGAATTTTGAGAG